CAAAGTCAAGAAAGAAGAGTCTAAACCTACAGTTCAGAATGTTACGACTATGACTGGTCCAACATTTCACAAGAACAATATGAACATTTGCTTCAACTTTTGAGTACTAATTCTATTACTCATGATTCATCATTTAACCAAGTCAATTCATCCATCATAGAAGGTTCTATGAATGATGGAGGTAAATCCTTTTCTTTCAGCCCTTTTATTGTAAATGTTTCTAAATCTTCTTCTTCATTGACTCCTCATTAATCGTGGATTATTAACACCGGAGAAACAGATCACATTTGTTCTAATAGTTCTATTTTTCTATCCATGACTAAACTTGTTCAGCCTATTCAAATTGGTCTTCCTGATGATCATTCCACTACTATAATTTTCATTGGTAATGTAAAACTTCATGACACCATCATTCTTCATGGTGTTTTTTACCTGCCTTCCTTCAAATAAGACTTACTTTCGATAACAAAACTCACCTCTCAACTACAAACCTTGATTTTTTTCACTGATTCTAGATATTTAATGTATGACCCCTTATTGAAGAGTAGATTTGCATTTGGACTTCTTGGAACAAGAGTGATGATCTTTATGTTTTTTTATCATAATTCTCTTAAGCCTACTTTGTCTTTTAATCTACCTCTTCCTTCTTGTTTTCATATTGTTGTAATAAAATCATATTATAATTCTTTGGTATGGCATAGAAGATTTGGGCATCTTCCCGTACAAAAATTACAAACTCTTTCACTCATTCCTGATTCACATTCTACTCATAAATTTGATATGTGTTCTGTTTGTGCTAAAGCCAAACAATATAAATTGCCCTTTCCAAAAAGTGTTACTAATACAAATACATCATTTGAAATTGTTCATGTGGATGTATGGGGTCCCTACAAACATAATTCTCATGATGGATACAAGTATTTCCTCACTACTGTCGATGATTACAATAGACATACATGGATTCATCTGTTGACCAATAAGAGTTATGCTTTCTCATTTATTAAAAGTTTTATTGAATTTGTTAATACTCAATTCTCAAAACGGGTCAAAGTTATTAGTTTAGATAATGCCTATGAATTAGGCTCAAGCAATGAAGGTCAATTGTTCTTCCAACAAGAAGGCATTATCCATCAAACTTCTACACCATATAATCCTCAGTAAAATGGTTTAGTGGGAAGAAAGCATCGCCACATTCTTGAAATAGCTCATGCTTTATTTTTTTCAATCAGTTTTGGGAGTAGCTTATTGGAGTGAATGTATACGAATTGTTGTTCATCTAATGAATCGAATGCCATCCAAAGTTTTCAACAACAAAACTCCATTTGAAATGTTGCATTGTTACAAGCCTGATCTTTCAAATCGAAAAACATTTGGATGTTTGTGCTTTGTTCATACTTTGGCTGTTGGATGTGACAAATTCATGACTCATTCTAATTCTTGCATTTTTATTGGGTATCCAACTGGGACAAAAGCTTACAAAGTGGTGAATCTAACAACTGCACAAATATATCTTTCTAGAGATGTTAAATTTTTTGAAGATGTAATCCCATTTGCATTCAATCATACAACCATCAAGTGAGTCATCATCAACCTCATTTTTACCCACAAATTCCAAAGATACCCCTGATCAAGATTCTACTCCAACAGTATTCGTCCCAAATCCCATTCGAAATCAACTTGAGCCCAACAATGTTCTTCCAAGACGTTCAACCCAAGCCATTCAAGCACCTTCTCATTTGCGAGATTATGTATGTAATCATACATCTTCAGAATGTTATTCTCATTCTTGTCACTATACTATCACCAATTATTGTCTTCAAGATGTTTCTGATCAAAAGTCAATCCATGTTCCTACAAGTTATACATTCAATGTTATTAGTCATGTTTTTGAACCTGCTTTTTATCATCAAGCAAAGAGACATCCCGAGTGGGAACAAGTTATGGTTAATAAACTAAAAGCTTTAGAAGACAACCAAACATGGGATGTGGTGAAATTACCCAAAGACAAGAAACCAATATCATGTAGGTGGGTATACAAAGCCAAATATAGAGCTGATGAAACTCTTAAAAGGCACAAATCACGCTTGGTAGCAAAGGGTTTCACCCAAAAAGAAGGAATAGATTTTCACGAGACCTTTTCTCCTGTTGTGAAATTTAGTACAATTTGTTGTATTGTTGCTCTTGTTGTTAAAAAGAACTTGCCAATTCATCAATTCGATGTCAATAATGCGTTCTTACATGGAGATTTGCACGAAGAGTATACATGAAACCTCCTCCTGGTTTTGACATTTCATCACCATCATTAGTATGCAAACTCAAGAAATCTTTATATGGACTAAGACAAGCTTCAAGGCAATGGTATTCTGAGCTCTTACTGCATTAAGGTCTAACAAGTATTCTCTTTCTCAAAATGATCATTCGGTGTTTCTCAAGAAGACAAATACATCCTTAATCGTCATTGTTGTTTATGTGGATGAGATTTTAGTTGCAGGAAATGATTCATCAGAAATCAGTAGCTTGAAAGCTTTTCTTCATAACCAATTTCAAATCAAAGATTTGGGATTTCTTCATTTTTTTTCCTTGGATTAGAATTCCAATCCACCGAAATGATTATACATCAGCAAAAGTTCATGAATGAATTATTGAGTCATTATTCAATAATTCCACCAAATATGTCAAAACTCCATTGCCTTCCAAATCCCAATTGATGCCTCTTTTGAAAGATCCTCTAAAAGATCCAACAACTTACAAACAATTGATTGGAAAATTAAATTTTTATTACACACACGTCCTGGTTTGTCTTATGCTATTCAACATTTAAGCCAATTTAATCAAACTCCTTGTCAAGAGCATTCCGAAGCTGCTCTTCATGTTTTACAATATCTTCAAATTAATCCTACACAAGGATGATTTTTCAACAAAAAGGAGTCTTTTCAGGTTGAAGCATTTTGCGACTCTGATTGGGTTGCTTGCCCAATAACACGAAGGTCTGTAAGTGGTTTCTTTATACTCTTTGGAGGTGTTCCAATCTCATGGAAATCAAAAAAGCAAACAACTATCTATGTATCATCCGTTGAGGCTGAATATAGATCCATGAGACGAGTTGCTGCTGAGTTGGCTTGGCTCAGTAGATTACTTGATGAATTACAAGTTCATAATATCACTCTTATACCATTGAAGTGTGATAATAAAGTTGCAATCTTCATTGCTCGTAATCCAGTGTTCCATGAGCGTACCAAACACATCGAAATAGATTGTCACTATGTTCAAGAAAAGTTACAACAAGGTTTAATCAAACTATCTCATATTCCTAATACTCATCAATTGGCAGATGTTTTCACCAAATCTTTGAATGGTTCTTAACATCAGCAAGCAATATCCAATATGGTACTTCATCCATACCCTCCAGATTGGAGGGGGGGGGGTGTTACATATCAGTTAAAGTCGTTAGAGTTTGATTTAGCCTCAAGGGCATTTTTGTCATTTCTATGAGTTTGAGTTTTTCAGTTACAATTAGTTATAAAAAATTTTATGTACATATATATAGAGTTCTGTTGTAACTTAAGCATTCAGATAATGAGAATAAGATACACTTTTCTCTCTCAATCATAACATCATAACATCTAGTACCACTTAGAGGTCCTTGTCCCCAAATCAGTTGTCTTCCTTGTGAAGATTTTGAAAGTTGCCTTTTGTTTTTGCTCCGCAATCTTTTGTGTTATAAAGCTAGGTGTTCATCCATTTTTTCAAGTAAATCATTTAAAATTATTGTCCGAAGAGTTATTGAAAAAACATACGCAAGTTTTTTCGTTTTATCCCTTCCAATCGGGCGTCAAGGTTGTTATGGTTCAAGGTCATCGTCTTCGTCATTAAGGTTGACACGACTACCACGACTTATGTTTGTGTGTAAATGTTATACTCAAATGTATTTGACCTTTTAGAGCCTCCTCTTTCAACCCACATCGGTAGAGCCTTAGTTCCCTTTGTGCAATTTTGTATTATATACCAACCTTTGTAGTGGTTAAACGGCTTCCCAAAACTTTTAATACAATACTACTTGAGCGCCATTTGCAAAACGTCCATGTCGTTGGCATCACGTTTTTTGCGACACTAAGTTGTAAATATTGTTGAACTTTTCGATTTTCTGTTTCAAGCCACGGAATTTTAAAGATATTTGGTCAACGGTATGGTATTCCCGACCCATGGAATTGTGGAATTGGGTCATGAAGTGCTCCCAAAACACCCGTGTTTTGCGCATTCCCAGTCCATCTATCCATATAAATGTTTGTCTAAGCACGAGCAATATCTCTTCCTCCTTTGCATTCCAATTTTGTTTGTTGGTATTTTGGCTCTCTTTTTAGAGCTCTTACCTCATCATGATGGTTCAGGTAGTATTTCAGGCATCAATTCGGGTTTTGTTTGGGGAACAATCCATAATGGAAATATTGCATACAAGGCGAGGTTCGGAAAGGTTACATTTGGGGATGAAATTATTGGGGTGAAGGGAGCAAGTTGAGGTGTGGTGTTCAAATTTTGATTCACTTGTTAGAAATTTGTAGGGTTTACGAGAGATCTATTTGTGGGGTTCAAATTTTGATCCATTTGTAAGAAATTGGAAGGGTTAAGAGAGAATGCACATCAAAAAATACAGAATTTCACAAATGGAAAAGACGTAAAATAGAGCCCAATAAATAGTAGAATGGTTAAAAACCTTTTTATAATTTTGAAACCTTTGTTCCAAATTCAAGATAATTTTGAATGGTATATAGAAAAAAGGAAATTGAAAGAATCCGGATTAAAAGACATTAGAATTACGATCAAGAGATTAGTTCATGATACGATGCAAATCACAATGCCATTTTGTTGTTCTAAATATGCCTACTTGCATCATATCCAAGATTCACGATCTAGGGTTTTAAGAGCAATGGCATATGAAGCTTCCAAAGCATTAAGCACAATCGAAACAATAAGCTAACAATTCAAAAAACCGAGTATCAGAAATGCCCATGTTCTAGGGTTAGGGCTTGTTTCTATGAAATGAGACCATATGAAGAATGTTTGAATTGAGAATTCAGAAAATATGCAGGATATATAACCGAAGAGTAATTTACGAAATTAAAGAAGACTGAATGGAATTAAACATCAAACGCATTCGATTAAGCTACTTATTTCTTCTTGCCTTTACCGGCGCCGGACTTCCGCTTCGGTGGGATTATAATCTCACCTTTGAGCGTCGGAATCTGCATAAACTGATCCAAACCGCCGACTCCACCGAACTTCTTCCGGAACTTCTCAACTTGATCGGCGTCGATGAGGTTGGCGGAGCGACTGCCGAGGTAGAACGGATGGTTGCCGGACCAGACATCTACGACGTACTCTTTCTTAGTGCCGCCGGTGGTGAGGACGTGGTCTCCGCTGCAGTACACCTTGGCGTCCTCGTAGAATTCGGGGTGGATGTCCTTCTTCCGGCAAGTCCATCGCGCTTGATTTGGGGGGGATACGGATGCAGCTACCTGATAAGAGAAAATTGAGTAGGGTTAGATTGAAATTATGGTGCGAAATGGAGGGTTTTAGGTATAGTGTGACGACCTTTTTCATCGACAGTGTTGGAGGAGGAGTGTTTCTGTGCAGAAAGGAGTTGGATAGGCTTATCGCCATTTTTGTCTGTGGGCGTGCGAGAAAGAAGGACGATGATAGCAGATAACAAGATGAGGAAATCCCAATGGGTTTTGCGTTTACAAAGAAGTCGAGTTGGCAGCAAAATGACAATTTTGACCTTAAGTTTTTTGAAAATTTTGATTGGGCTAATACCATAAAACTAGTTAACTACAACTAATAGTACTTCTTTGTGATCTGAATAATTCGTTTTTTAAATTGTATCGAATAGAATAATAAACAAATTTTGGGTTTTCATTAGTCATTACTAGGCATGCACAAACCGGTTTTTTTTCTGAACCGGACCGGTTCAGTTCTAGTCAACCAAGTCAAAACCGGTTCACCCAGAAACCGGTTTGGTTCCAAACCTGTCCACCACAAAAAAAAAAGCCGAACATATGTAAACCGTTTCGGTTTTATCAAAACCGATTCAGAAAAAACCGGTTCAAAAACGGTTTGACGCATATAAGGTTTTTTTATTTTATTTTTATTTTTGGGTTAATAAGTGTAAAATAAGAACGAGTTCTTTTTTTGTTTAGATTGTATTGCTTTGTTTTGGGCTAATAAGTCGTAACCTTATTACGGTCCGCAAGGTTGTCATAGAACATTTTTAAAGTATCTTTTTGACGTAAGGCACATTCAAATATTTTGCAAGTGGAGTTCCATCGGGTATTATTTCCCAATTTGGACCTAAAAAGAGGGCATTCGCATCGGCACAAAATTGCATATAATTATGATATTGAGCATTACTAGAAGTAAAAATTTCTTTTAGCATGTCTTTGAAACCATCTTTTATAGTTTCAATGTTAGTTAGTCCATCTTGCACAACCAAATTAATGATATGTGCAACACATCGACTATGAAAAAAAACATCATCGCAAATTGGTTTATCTTTTAGTTTTAGTTGTTCAACTGTGATGGTGTTGTTTGAAGCATATTATCAAAAGATATAGAAAAAATCTTTCCTTCAAGTTTATAAGTTTTGATCACACAATCTAAAATTTTAAATAAATTTCTACCGGTGTGCGGATACTCAAACAATTCAAACGTAATCGTACGCTTCATCATTACCCAATTAGTTGGATTAATCTAATGAGCGGTAACACAAAGGTACGCATCCGGTGAACTGTGAGGAGCCGTCCAAACATCACAAGGTAAATTCACACCGGTTTCTAAAGATTGAAATCCTAAAATCATTTCATTTTTTGCAAGTTTCCACATTTCAATAAAATCACGTCTAATAGAAGTACGACTCACATGACAATATCATGGTTGGAGAGTATCTTGGATGAGTGAAGTCAATCATTTGTTGTCGAAGTAGTCAAAAAGCAAGCATTCTTGAATCACGAACTTCGCCATCCTATCCCGAACTTTAGCCAAATCGTAACTCCACAATGTTGTATCATTTGCCATTGTTGTTTGATTATGTCCCGGCCCAAATTTCACCGTGGGGCATCTCTTGGTCATATGAGTTTTCAATGTCGAATTCTCATCTTCATTGAAAAAAGCACCACATTTCTTGCATCGCGTTTTTTTTGGACTGCTCGACATTACACACAAATCAAAACTGCACCAAATAGCCGGATTTCTACTTGTTTCTTTGATGCTAACATCGGTAAGATTGTTTGATGAATCTCCAACACCAACGGAAGTCGAATCCATTGTTTGAATTAAGAGCGTTTTTTGAACTAAGAGAGGTTTTTTTAGGCTTGGTTGAACCAAAACATCTAATAGCTATTTATACTATCAAGTATCGGTGAATATGGCCAAAAGGGACCCAAAATCGAGTTTCTAACCGCCTTAAACGGCTATATAGCTGTTAGTATAGGACAAAAAAACGGGCATAAATCGTCTCAAACAAAAAATCGGTTCAAAACCGGTTCGTAATAAACCGGTCCCAACGGTTGGAAAGGCGAATTGGTATAAATCGGCGGTTCGGTTCATAGGTGAACCGGTTCGGGGATAAAACGGTTTTCGGTTCAGTGACCGGTTCGGTTTGTGAACCGGTTTTTTTGCCCACACCTAGTCATTACACATGGGATGTGTATTTCAAACGAGCAAATTTATATTGAATCTTACATGATGTTTATTATGGTACTAGTTGTGAGACTCATGTATTACATGAGTTACTTTAAAATAAAAATAAAAAGTTAAATATGAATGTCTAAATATTTAAGAAATTTGAATTTATAAGAAAATAAGAAAAATAATGAATTATTAAAATTAAAATGTTTTTTTTATCTTTTAAATTTAAACAAATAATTTAAATAAACAAACAAAAGAAATTAATGAACTTTAATTTGGAAAGTTTGAAATTAGAAGGTAAACTCATCAATGAAATTGATATCCATTTATTACTATATATATTGCAATTATTACATTAGAATATTATGTAAAATTTAATTTTGAAAACCAATAAAATGACATGTGGAAAAAAAATTAATTTAAAATAACCACAAAATGACATTTAGCAGAATGAATGAGAGTGTGACATGTGGCAAAAAATCTTCATTTAAGAGTAGATCGGATATGATAAAATATATTGAGTAACGTATTTTAATACATGTCTTGATCTTTTCATTTAATATAGAATTATTCAATTGAAGTTCATTTCAATAATGTAATAAGACCCCAAAAAAATTGTTACTAGGTATAAGTAAAAGATAAGTGACTGAAACAACTAAACAAAGACTATTAGTTGTCATTTTATAATATTAACTTTTTTTCATTTATGTAAAAACAAAACGAACCTTAAAATTTTAAAAATTTTAATCAAAATTATACGAAAACAAATACCATACATAAACGTTATATCCAAGACATGTCTTAAAAGACAAAATTTATAAATTTTCTGTACAATAGTTATTGATTTTTATTTTCCTCTAATACAATACATTATGTTTTATCAATCTTACAATTTTAATGATTTTACATCATTTTAATCTTTAGAACTAAAATATACTTGAGACCACTCAAGAAACCTCCTAAAATATGTAGGATAAATCATATCAAAGTCACAACACATGATAAATGAACCCCACATGATTATAGCAAATAAGACACATTATCGATTACAAATTAACCTCTTTTCACCCAAAAACGTTAAGTATTTTTGAAACCAATCAATTCCATTTCTTTTTAACAAGCCAAATATTATAAATGGCATTGGCTAAGGGTTAGGCCTAGAAAAAGTAATTACAAAAAGGTTAATTGGTTTTTGAAGCCATAAGACCCGATTAGTTACAAAAAAAAATTATTTACGCTACAAAACCAAAGAAAATAAATTTATTCTTTTCTCTACTTTAAACCATCAAATAGCAACATTAAAACTGAACCCAAAAAAGCCATATAACATGAAAAGATTATGTATTCATATCCAAACATTCAAACATGAAAATGGGAAGTAAATGTATGTACATGTACACTTCCAGTCATATAACACATATTTCCCAGATCTGGTACAAAAAATATTTCAAAATATTGAAACAATTCTTCAAAAATTAATTCATAATTAACTGAAAGAAATTGTTCCTGTTTCTGCTTCAAAGGCTGCTGCTATCTCTCCTCTGAGTTAAATCTGTTCCAAGCCGCCTGTTTCATTTTCGACTTAATGTTAGTAAATGACCATTTTACCCTTCTGTTTAGAACTAATGCTGAATAAAAAAATGATAACTTAAGAACTGTTACAAATCGAAAATTTCTTGTCTGGACTCTGGAGCAAGCGTTGTTATATAATATTTGCAAAAACTGTTTGTTCATTTTTGGAGCAAATGAAATGTCTGGATGTTAGTAAATGACCATTTTACCCTTGTGTTCAGAATCGATGCGGAATAAAAACGATTGTTTGTTTAAGAACTGTTATATATTGAAACATCTGTCCAGAGCAAGTGTTGTATACACAGACTTTTTTTTACCGAATGATTTGTTGTAATGGTAAATTCGTAAATGACCATTTTACCCTTCTGTTTCGATTTGATGCTGAATGAAAATGACTATTTATTTAAGAACTAACAATGAACTAAAACGTGTGCTGTATACAACTAAGTGAACTAAATATATAACACGAAGACAGTTTCTTTTTGGAGTGAATGACAAATGACCAATTTACCCTTCAAATTGAGGAAGGAAATTAAATTATATACCTTCAAAAGATCGAAAACTTTTTCACATATATACTTTTGTTGAATACTTGCACCCCTTTGTTGCAGCTTATCAGGATGAACACAAAGAGTGGCCTTTCTGTAAGCTTTTTTAACTGCACTTGTGGTTATGATTTCTGTCAGTGACACAGATTGCCAACCACTCTCAGGTCCAAGAATCTGTCAAAAAAATATATAAATATTTATATTTTAGAAAAAAAAAAAATTTAAAAAAGAAGTTTTTACATACATATTGCAGAGTTGAAAGTAATGCACGCAAGTTTCCTTCTTTCCCAGAAGACCATCTTTTGATATCAGCATCAAGATTATCAGCTATTCTCTGTAATTACAATTGTAAAGGAATTATAAAATTTAATAAAAAGGGTTAATGTTGTAAATGGGTAATAAATTATATTATATTTTGGTTGCTGAATTATGAAATTAATGGAATAAAAAAGATGATTACGCTTCTTTCAGCTTGTTCTTTTTGGGCAAGCTGATCACGCTTTTCTTTCTCTGCAAGAGCTTTGGCCTGAAAGAGAACAACAAAGGGTAATTTGGGAAACAAATTGGTAATGTTTGGTATGATGGAATTGGGGAAGTAATGGAATGGAATGCTTGATTCCGGTGGAATTGAGAATGAAATGTTTGTTTCTGAACTCTGAAGGAATGTGATTTCTTGGATTTTGTTATTTTTATATTTAAGTAAAAAATTTAATGACGTAATATTTTTTTTTTTTAACTTTTCATGATTTTAATAAATCACAATTTTATTTTCTAAAAGTTATAACTACACTCTATATTTTTTTAGGGTTGATTGAATGAAAAACACAACATTTTTTAAGTGATCAAAATGTTGTGTCTTTTATGCAAATAGCATTTTATACTTTTTTGCATAAAAGATGATATTTTGACCACTTTTTCATAAAAAAAAAACACATAATTTTTTTAGTGGATGGAAACCTGTAAACCAGGTAAAAAGGCAAAAATCAAAAGTTAGGTCACTCTTTTGGCTTAGATTGTAAATTAAAATTTTAGGTCTTACCCAAAAAAAAAAAAAAAGAAGTCAAATTCTTTTACGCAATTAACCCTATTTTTTATTACAATCTGATTTGGGTTTTAAACTTTAATAAACGTATATTGTGCTTAATTTTGTAGTTTTGTACACATTTACATATAATATAAATTTTTTTTAATGAAAATCCATTCCATTCCTACTGGCAAATCAAACATGATTATGGAATGTAATAACTCATTCCATTCCATTCATTTGTCATTCCATTCCATCCATCCAAACAAACCCCTTAAGGAAATTCTTTAATTACAAAAAAGTAGCAAGATAAGATGCATACCACATTTTCCTTGATCCTGTTATGCTTTTCTAATATTGCTTTACTTCTTTGAACTGATTCTCCACTTGTTCCATTTGAAATGTGTAATTCCTGTAAAAAAAAAAAAAAATTATCTAGATTACTTCTCCAAACATAACAAAAACAATATATAACATCTGAAGTGATTGAGAACTTACAGAAGATGTTTTTCTAACATCAGTGACTTCTGTTCTTGATTCAGACACTTTCTTTTGAGACATTGCTTTTTCTAAAGCTCTTTTTCTAGCTTCAGCAGTAGCTCTCTCAACTGCAGCACGTTCTGCTTTAAGCTTTGAAGCTATTTCAGAAGCTTTCATGGCAGCTTTTTCTTGAACATCTGCCATTGCCCTTTGTCTAACTTCAGCTGTAGCTCTTTCAACAGCAGCCCTTTCACGAGCTTCATTAAATGAACGCTCACGAGCTTCCCGAATTGCCCTTTCAACTACTAATCTATTTCTCTCTCTTTCCCTTTCTTCATTTGTTGCTTCTTCAATCTTCTTTTCTTCTTCTTTTTCCACCACTTTGTTTGACTCAGATTCTTTAGCTTCATCATTCATGTCCTTTGCTTCTTCAGATGTTCCTGTTTCCATTTGAAAGATAACTTCAGGTCTTTCTGAATCAGATTCTTCTGAATGAGATTCTTGAAAGTTGTTTTCTTCTTCTTTCTTGATTGTTTCTTCTGTTTCTTTACATTCTTTAACCTCTATCTCCATACCATGTAACATGTCTGAACATGATTCAGATTTTTCATCATTTTCTTCGGCTTCTTCCATGTCATGTGACACCTCATCATCATCATCATCAGACTTTGGTTCATGTTCATCTTCATTGTTTATGGAGGCAGTTTGACTTTGATCTTCAGAAATGGTTTCAAAGATCTGTTTTTCTTCTGTAATTATTGCTTCTGTGTCTTGTAATGTAACTTGTGGTGAGCTATTGCTGACATCATCAACTTCTTGACTTGATTCCTCAACTTTGGTATCGATTTCAATACGATTTGCAGCATGGAAGCTATGGATGCTCTCATTTTCTTCTGCATCATCATAATCACTCGATGAATTCTCAATTATTTCCACATCACAAACATCATAAAACTTCTCACCATTGTCTTCTTCTTCTTCTTCTTCTTCTTCTTCTTCTTCTTCTTCCATGTGGCTTTCAGTGTCACTTTCCTCTTTCACTTCTTTTTCTTCCTCAACAACTTTCTCTCTTGCTTCATCATCACTATTTGATTCATGAATCTCTGCAATTACTACTTCCTCATTATGTTCAACAACTTCCTGCTTTGTATTTTCCAATAACCCTAATGCTTCACTGAATCTCTTCTCATAACCATTTTCATCATAATCATGAGATGTTTTCTTCTCATCTTCTTCCACCTTCTGATACAAAGCTAAGTTGTTGGTTTCTTCAGCAAGTTTATTAGAATTACTGGGTCCCACCTCATCTTTATTCTCCTTCAACTCTATATTTTCACAACTTTCAAGTACAAAAAAACCATTTGGTCTCTGATTATCTTTCTTCAAAGATTCATTTTCAATCTCTTCAGAAGACCTTGTTGCATGTTCTACAGCTTTTTCATTAGAATCACAAACAATCTTATCATCTTTTAACTCATGAGAAGATCTTATTGGTATCTCAGAGTTCTTTTCAGTTTCCAAACTTTTCTCATGAATTTCATTTATAACCTTCTTGACACCAAAAAGCTTCTCATCATCTGTAGATTCTGAAAAAACTACTGTGTCTCCATGCTTATGATTTGAAGAAACTTGTGATGCACTTACATTTGCCATTCTAGCTTTAAAGATTTCTTTAATCCAATTGTCTTTTTCTTTCTGTTCTTCGCCTGTGCTTACATTTTCCACTCTAGCAGCTTTAACTTTCAAGCTATCTTTGAAACTTTTGCTTGAAAAGCTTTTAAGACCTTCTTTCTTTCTACCCACTGCTTCCTTTGCAATACGTATACTTTCTTGAGCCTTTTCTATAGCTTTTCTTAAAGCAGCTGCAGAAGCACCAGCAACAGAATTGACATCAAGTTCTTCATCAAAACAAGTAGAAGAAAATGCTCCAGGAGTATCATTTTTCCATGTCCAGGTATTTACATTAGTTGCTGAAGTTGCAGGTGATGATGATGATGATGATGATGATGATCCTCTAGAGGAATGTAAGTTGATATCAGCCTCAAATTTCTTAGAAAATCGATCATCAGATAAGGATTCATCTTGACCATGTTTACTCCTGGATTCAACAGCACTTTGTGAAGTTTGTTTCTTAAGAAAATCATCATCTGTTTCAGACGATATTTTCTTATCAGTTTCCTTCTTTGATTGAAGTATTGGTTCACCATTTGTTGCAGAAGCTGTAAGTGATGGTGATACTTTGGAATTATGTGATTTGAGATTGACTTTTTTATCATCTTGATGATCTTTTCCTTTAGATTCAATGATAGTTTCTGAAGTTTGCTTCTCAAGAGAATGAACTTCATTTGGTATACATGCTTTTTGCTTCTCAATTTCCTTCTTTGGTAATGATTGTGATTTGAGATCAGTCTTTTTATCATCAGATAAGGATTCATCTTGATGATTTCTACTTTCAGATTCAACAGCTTTTTTCTCAGGAAAATCTCCCTTGATGAAATTTATCAGATGAACATTATCTGTTTCAGATGATTTTTTCTTCTCAGTTTCCATCTTTGTTTGTGAAGCTGCTTCAGTATTGATTGCTGAAGCTGTAGGCAATGATGATACTTTGGAGTTATGTGATTTTAGATTGACCTTTTTATCATCTTGATGATCTTTACCTTTAGATTCAACAGCAGTTTTTTTCTCAAGAGAATGAACTTCATTTTCTATTGATGTTTTTTGCATCTCAATTTCCATCTTTGGTGATGAAAGTTTGAAGGGATGTGATTTGAGATCAATCTTTTTATCATCAGATAATGATTCATCTTGATGATATTCACTTTTAGATTCAACAGCAGTTTGTGAAGTTTGTTTCTCAGGTGAATGAACTTTATTTGACACAGATGATTTTTGCTTCTTGGTTTCCTTTTTTAGTTGAGAAGCCGATTCATCTATAAAACAAGTAAATCCAGGAACAACATGTAATTGTGTCACATGTGTTGTTGTTTTCCCATCTAACCCATCTTTACTCCTTGGATTGATCTTATTATACGACATGTTAAATTGCTTCAATGCATCAAAAGATTGATTATTTAGATCATCACCAAGATCTTGAGAGCTTTGGCTTGATGACAATCGAGCCCTACAAAGAATATTAATAAGAAGAAAATGTTACAAAAGAAAAGGAAATGGTTAAAGAAAAACAGCATAAGATAATATGCATGAAAAAGATTGCCAATTGTTTAAAGATAATTTGCTAATTTAATGACAATGTAGCCACATGGAAGTAGAAATATAATAGGGAATCAAGATTTGATACTATAAATAGAAATTCAAGCCGAATACGAACAAAACTGCTAAAAAGTTCAAGCACGGAAATATTGCATATATAATTAATGATGTCGGAAATCTTGAAAAAGATAACGTGTGTAATTTGAAAAGCTAAAAACCCTAAAAAAAACCTAAAAAGATCATGGCTTCCATAGCCCTAAGAAAGAAAGGTCACTTACATAAAAGTTACATTACACATATATACAAGTAATGCTACAATAAAGAAATCCGGTTTTACTTCAAAATGGCATCTTTTCAAGTTCATTAGGGCAAAATTTAACTACTTAAGCATGTCCTAAATCTTTGTTCCCTAATCCTTGGAGAAATCATGTTAGTAAACAAAGCACTACCTAAATTACTCATATAAGTTGCATAATCCCATTGAAGATAGTTACCACTTTTATCAAGACATAGGTCAGAAAACCCTAAAAATTAAAAGATGTCAGGCGTTTAGGTGTTGTGACCTATTAAAGAATGATGAAAGAATTTGAAGTTAGACATGTGTTCATGATGTAATTTATATGTGAAAAGGGGATCAGGGTAAAGTACATACAAATCTAGACTTCTTTTTCAAGAACATCATGATTCATGAATGCTGTCTATAAATTTTTTGTTCCATAACGTAATAAGATATAGCTACAAATCCACAATGATGTTCTTCATTTTGGTAATCTATGTAATAAATCAGACCTACACTTTTACTAGGCACTCGGAAATTTTTTAACTTCACATTAACCAAAACTGTGCATAATGATTTCGCAAAGTGCATCTCATAGAAAAGCTATATACGAAGAAAGAGGAAGAATGCAAGAATTGGGGTTAGGGGTTTGGGGAATCTGAATCAAAGAAGAATCAGAAGCCAAAGCATAAACTTTCGATCGATAAATTGTAAGGATCGATCTTTCGGATAACCATTTCATGTAATACAAAGTTTAAAAAATACAACTTTTAGCCAAATGACAAGGCTTTTTTCAGAAATGGTATCGCTGACGATGGCAAAATCATTTCAAATGTAGAAAACGAAAGGGGGGAAGTTGCATCATCTTCATCGAGACAACATAAAACGACAAGTTATCTCCTTCAAACACTTCGAATAGAAAGAAACATGACTTTACCTAGCTTTATCTCGAGCAATCAACTCTTCATAAGAAACAGCGATGTCTTCGTCACGAAATCCACCAAAAATCTTACCGTAATCTGGCTTCGTACTCCCAAGTTCCAAATTTGAACCATCAGACGATTCTTGTAAAGTTGAAAGATCAAGAACCGGAATCGAAGAAGCAGCTTGACCGCTGCTAAAAATCTCACGGTACTCATCAACGTTAACAGCCGGAACTCCGTCGAACTTGGGTCGGTGGCCGGAAAAGACTCCGTCGTAGGCGTTCTTACCGGAGAAACTATTGGCATTTGACAGTTTTCTTCTGTGAAAAGGACGTGAGAGAGACTCCATTAGAATAAATTGAAGGTGAAGCTCCACTCTCTCCCTCCCCTTCTCTTTGAATCACCTAGGGTTCGTTTACTTTGTCCCTTGAATAATATTATAATTATAAGGGATTTAGTGAGAAAGGTCTTGGGTTTTGTTTGTTTGCAGGGGGAATTCTGCAGAAACAGGACAAAGGGAAGGTGGAGGAGAAGGGGGGAGTACTTTTGGTGAAACTCAATGTCAAGGGTATAAATGGTATTTTACTATTTTTAAATTATTAAATCCAATATAATTTACCATTTATGGTTAGAATGTAAAACGTTGGATTTGACATGCCCTTAATTTCAAAAGATATTGTGTAATAAACTAAATTACAAAGATTAGATAGTTTGTTATTAATTGAATGGTCAATGTATAGAATAGGAATTCAATAAATATGACAAATTTTATCATTATGTTTATAAACTTTTAAATATTATAAAATATTGGTGTTATTATATATATAGGTTTTTATTTATATACTTCAGCCTATTTTTAATAATTATACACTTCATTCTATTTTGACTATTAAATTTTATAACACAGCATTAAATGTTTTACTTTTTTTTATGTGTTTTTTTATTTTCTCTTTCACACAGACACATACTTCTTTTAATTTCATTTTTATTTAGATTTGAAAGTATAAGAATTTTTAAACCGGATATTATCTCTTTAAAAAAATAAAAAATAAAAAAAACATATCATGTTTTCTCAATTTGATGAACTGACATAAGCAAAAAGTAATTTTCGTTGTTTCTATTATTATATTCTAGAATTTTTATGAAGATTGTATTTACGTATTTGCATGATTAATAAAAAAGTAACCTCAATTTCTTTTTGTCATATACGATTAATAAACAACTAACCTCCGATTTGAATAAAAAAGCATATCAGGTTTTTTCAATTTGTTTAATTGTCATAAGAAAAAAAAAACTCTTTGTTTCTATCATTTTCATAATTACCAACTAGAAGCGTTCCAGCGCGTTGTGCTGGTCAGAAATGGTGTTGTGTGGGTCGGAATGGTGCATGTGGATTGAAATCAATGTTGAAGTATAATATTATAATAGAATGATGAAACAATAGACATAGTTATCAAAGTGGGTTGCTATTTCTTGTATGTAACTAAAATTAAATGCAGAAATAACAGATTAATTGTACTTGAATAAACAACACTTGAACCTATCTAATACAAATAATGATAAACTAAAACCAAGTTCCTGCAATTCCGTTGAACTTGAATGCAACAATCCTATTAAAATGTGCGTGTGGCTCTGACTCTAACTGATCAAACTGTGTTGGATGTCTGTCAATCTAGCAACTATTTTTTATTTGAAATCTGTAAGAGTAAGAATCAAATTTCATTTATACCACAATGATGATTAACAAATAATTTTTTTTTAATTTCCTCATCTCATAATAAAACAATTTCAGCGTCTTGCTACAATATCATCTATATTTTGTTTATTTTTTGGATGCTTAGTTCTTTTTGGCAGTAGAAGTATTCTTATAAATCAGAGAGAATTTCTTACCATAGCAGTGTAGTTAGCCTTTTTGTCTTCTTCCACACCTCCAAAACTCGCTTGATACTTCTGATACAAAGATTTTATTCAATTAAATTGATGTTCATTAAATCGAACACCGAATATGAAATTTTAAAATCTTACATCTAGCGAAAAATATTATATAAAAAACATTTTTTTGTGGTTAAAAAACTCGTGTATTTCCTCAAATGTCATTGTCTCTACCTGTTCATTAAAAAAATGGTTTTGAAATTAAAATCGAAACAAACAAACAAACTCACTGAAATTGAAATTGAAATTACATCAACGCCCATTTGAAGATTGTTGTTGGTCAAATAAAGGTGAACAGATTTAAGGGCATTTGAGACACTTCTAGATATGGAGATATGATTGTCTGTTATCATCACCATATCAAATAAACCCATTTGAAGATTGTTGTTGGTCAAATTAGGGTTTATGTAAAAAATATTAAAGGGTAAAAAAGTAAAATTACACCGCCCAGTTATCCACCAAACGTAATGCCGATGTGTTTTTCTTGTTTCCAATATGCACGCAGGGTTTGCAGCTTCTGTCATCGCCTATAACAATTAATATATATATATATATATATATATATATATATATATATATATATATATATATTTAATGGTTATAGATTATTATGTAGTTATTGTTATCTTTGTGAGTGTGGTTATGCCACTCATTCTTTGGATAAAATTTAGCACAACTCTTTCGGCTAACACAATACTATATGCCCTTCCTAAAAATGATTAAAAATTAAAAATCAGTATATGACAATGTATATATGATATTGTTATCTTTCACCATTGAAGAGAGTTTGAGAGAAAGAAGATGAAAGATAAAATGATGATCAATAATGTTTGAATCTGTTACATTACAATCAACTATCTGAACTATATACAATGGTTCATAAATAACTGTTTCTAACAAACAGATGTAACAACTTCTGTAAGAAATTACAATACTACCCTTCATTTGATAACAGAGTCTAACACCCCCACCCCCGGCAAGCTGTAGACTGTAGATGTAGCTTGGAAATAGCCTTGTTATGAAGAACTCCATTTAAGGACTTGGTGAGAACATCAGCTAATTGAGCATCAGAGCTAACATGGGACAACGAAATCAGCCCTTCTTGCAGCTTTTCTCTTACAAAGTGACAGTCAATCTCTATGTGTTTGGTCCTCTCGTTGAAAACTGGATTGGTGGCTACGTAAATGGCTGCTTGATTATCACATTTCAATGGAATTGGATTAATGTTTGATACATCAAGTTCATGAAATAACCGACTCAACCATGCTAATTCAGAGCAGACTCTCCTCATAGACATGTATTCTGCTTTAGCAGAAGACAATGAAATAGTGAGTTGTTTCTTCGATTTCCAAGAAATAGGTGTATCTCCGAACATAATGAAGAAACCACTAACAGATCTCCTGGTGATAGGACAAGATGCCCAGTCGGAATCACAATAAGCCTCCAATTTATAGTTCTGAGTGTTATTGAAAAATAAACCTTGATTACTTGTCCCTTTGAGATATCGTAAAGTATGCATAGCAACATCAAAATGTTCTTAGGATGGCTGTTGATTGAAATGACTCAAGTATTGAACTGAGTAAGCTAAGTCAGGTCTTGTATGAAGAAGAAAATTTAGTTTTCCAATTAACTGTCTGTACTCAGTAGGATTTTTGAGAGGATTAGGCATTTTTGGAAGAAGATGAACTTTGGATGGCAATGGAGAAGAAATAGAAGTACCATCTTCGATTGAGTATAAAGCTAACAACTCCCTTATGAATTTGCTTTGATGTACAATCATGCCATTTGAGACAATTGTAAACTCAAGACCAAGAAAGAAGTTGATATGTCCCGAATCCTTGATTTTGAATTTATCATCAAGAAAAGTTTTTAACTTGGTGATTTCTTCAAGATTATCTCCAGTGATAAGTATGTCATCAACGTAGACAGCAACTATGACAATTGAATCTTTGGGTTTCTTTAGAAATAGAGAATAGTCATTATGAGAGTGTGTATAACCTTGATCCTTGAGGGCATCAAAAAGTTTAGAATACCATTGCCTGGATGCTTGTTTTAAGCCATACAATGACTTTTTAAGTCTACAAACAAGATGAGAAGAGTCAACTTGAAAACCAAGAGGAATCTTCATGTAAATCACCATGAAGAAAAGCATTGTTCACGTCTAATTGTTGAATATTCCACCCTTTCTTCACAGCTAATGATACTATACATCTTACAGTATTGAACTTGACAACTGGAGAGAAAGTATCATGGTAATCTATGCCTTCCTGTTGAGTGAATCCATTGGCAACTAAGCGAGCCTTATGCCTTTCAATTGTGCCATCTGCCTTGTATTTGACTTTGTAAACCCATCTACATGAAATAGGTTTCTTGCCTTTAGGAAGTTTAACAATATCCCATGTGTTATTAGATACAAGAGCTTGAAGTTCTTTGTGCATTGCTGCTTCCCAATCTGCATTACCTTTAGCTTGATGGTTGAAAGTTGGTTCAAGGACTTGTAGTTATGAATGAAAAACAAAAGAACGATGGATGTTCTGTTTTGTTGATGAAGCATTAATTTCATCTGGTATGCATATATTAGTGATAGTATGACAACAAAGATGATCAAAACCAACATGATTACATATGTAATCTTGAAGTCTTATTGGTGGTTGATGTACTCTGGTAGACCTTCTAATTGGAATTGAAGGAGGAATGTGATCACGATCATGTGAATGTTCAGAAGAAGGTTCAGGGGTAGAATGGGTATTTTCAAGAACATCAAGTGAATTTGTTGGAAGATGAGAAAATGATGAATGTATATGACTTTTAATCATTGAATGAAGAGGAAACAAATCCTCAAAGAAAATAACATCTCTTGAAACATGAATATGTTTGTTGACAAGATTCAACACTTTATAAGTTTTTTGACCATTAGGATATCCAATAAGAACACATGGATGGGATCTAGACATGAATTTATCACGTCCTACATGTGAAGTGGCAACAAAGTATAAACATCCAAAGACCCGCAAATGTGACAAATCTGGTTTCTGTCCCATTAAAGCTTCATAAGGAGTAACATTTTGAAGAATTTTTGTGGGCATTCTGTTAATAAGGTGAACAGCAGTCTTGACACATTCATTCCAAAAGGCAGTACCCAAACCAAATTGAAAGTATAGAGATCTTGCAACTTCGAAAATGTGTCTATGTTTTCTTTCAACAAGTCCATTCTGTTGAGGGGTGTGAAGAGTGAATTTTTGATGAAGTATGCCCATGGATTGAAAGTATGTAGTTCCTTCATGACTTGATCCAAGCTCAAAAGCATTATTAGTTCTAATGATTTTTGATATTTCTGTGAAACTGGGTTTTAGCATAAGCAACAAAATTTTGAATCAAAGTAAGAGCATAACTCTTATGTGAAAGCATATGAACCCATGTATGCCTACTATGATCATCTACAATGGTAAGAAAGTACTTGAAACCATCATGAGATAAATGTTTGTAAGGTCCCCAAATGTCAACATGAACAAGATCAAAAGCATTATCAGTTACAAAAATGCTTTTAGGAAAAGGAAGTATGTGTTGTTTAGATTTGAA